GTTCGCTTCTTATTCAAACTATATATATTGTATTGTATGTTTCAATTCAACATTTTCACAGCATCGACAAGACCTTTTGACTGTTGTATGATTAAAAAATATGTGTTATGATTTATGTTGACAAGATTGTTTAATTGTATATGTTGTCTTTGATTTTATTTTATTAAAAAAAGTCTTTTGATATTTATAATAAATATTAAAATATAAACGCCGAGATCTGAAGAGCGTTCATCAAGTGTTCGTTAAATATTCATATTCTATAAATATATGTTTTCATTGCTTTTAGAAGAATCGTTCAACATTCAGCTTCTCATTTATTTCGAGTGCACGATTAGCTGTCCACGGATTTCCTGTTCATTGATCAAACAAAAAAAAAATATTCCCATTAGTCGTTTTCTTATTTGAGAAGTTATTTTCCATTGATTATTTAGACGAAGATAAACGAACAAATAAGTAGTGAGTGTAAGTTTGAAGGTTAACGTGTGGGATGAGAATGAGAAATGAAACTATAGGAAAGACACCCATACTAATCCACTCTCATCTCGCATTCACCCTCACCCTAATCCTATATTCACCCTCACTACTCATTCGTTTATTTCTTTCCGTCCAAATAATCAACGGAAAGCAAATTCCCATACAAGACAATGAATAATTGTTTTTATGTCATCAATGAACAGGAAACCTTCAATAGCAAAAATGATATTTTTCCTTATGAGAAAAACAAAACAATTAAAGTTGGAAAAAATCAATAGCTAATAAATCGTGCAAATCCATTCACATAATCCCCTTCGATAAATTCAATTTCGACATGATTATATTGTCAGTAATGGATTGGTCATTGATATTTGTTGCATTTTGATTTTCTTATTTCTCTAAAAATTTTCATCTCTAACTGTTGCACATTATGATTTACTTTATTTTACTATACATAAATAATTATATTAGAGTATTAAACTTCGAACTCTTTCCATGTCAATCTGAATGATTTCAACCGAAATTTTGTAAACTCTGTACTCGTCGCCATTCATTATTATTTTAAATCATTTCTGTGATCTATGAAAACACTTCAATAACAAAAAAAAAACAAATACCCTACTCAAATCCCTTTTTTTTTGTTTTTATTCTTCTCAAACAGAAGTCACACACAGAAGAAAAAAAAGGAAAAAAAAAAGAATTTTTGGCTGACAAGATCATGTTCTAATGAAAAAAAAACGAGAGAGAGAGAGAGAGAGAAGAAAAATTTTAATTTAACGCATAGACATTCATCTTTCGTTGTTTATTACTGTCTAGCCATAGAGATCGACATTATCGAACGTATTTAGAAATCATACATATGGACCAAAAAAAGCGAAAAAGAAATAAATCGACTGATTACTTTGTCGAATGCACGCGAACAAAAAGTTCTTTCATTTATGTTGAAATAGAAGAAAAACGAAAAAAAAAACCAAACAACTGACAAAGACGACAATACGAAAAAAAAAAAGAAATATATATGAATGTATGATAGTTATAGTAAATATATGAATATATATATATAGAGAGAGAGAGCGAGACAGTGCATACGCGTACAAAAAAAAGACGAGAAGATGATTTTGATTATATACAAAAGACGAATGATGTCTACGTTGTTGATATAGTTTCAATAAGATTATGCAACCGGTAGGGAAAAGAAAAGTATAAGCAAGGGTTGAATAAAGCGGTGTGTGTGTGTATTTGTGTGTCTTAATTTAAATTTAATATATAAAAATGATCGTTGGACAGGTTTACATAGGTTTTTTTCCATCTTTTAATAAAGCTTCTCTTGCACCAGTATTTCCACCACCTCGTGGTGGCGTTACTGGACGACTATTATTTAATGATGGTGTTTTAGCTTTCTTTTCGGATGGTTTTAAAATCTATTTAAACAAAAACAATGAAATAAGTTATTTTCCTAATACAAAAAACTTTGTTTTTTTTTTACTTGAAAACTACACATAAGTGTTTCATCAACAGACATCATTGCTCCGGCATTATCAAATTCACCACAATAGTTTGGTGCTGAAAATAATGTAACTAATTGACGTTTAGCAAAAAATTCATAACCATCTTCAACAACCTAAAATTTTCAAAAAGAAAAAATAATGATTTTCTTTTTCGATATTATAAAATGAAATAAACAAACTTGATGAGCACGACATATAAGATCAAGATCATGTTTATGTAAAAATTTTGATACAATTTCTGCTCCAAATGTAAATGATACACCACGATCATTTTCTCCCCAACCATTGACTTCTTTATCTGGATCAGACCATAATAAATCACATAATAAACCTTGATCAGGTACATCAGTTGGTCTCATTATTCGTCGTATTTGTTCCATAGACTGTAAATCTGGACTTAAACCACCATGACAGCAAAAAATTTTTTCATCAATTATTGCAGCAACAGGAAGACAATTAAAACAATCAGTAAATGTTTTCCATAATTTTATATTATACCGTCGTTTACATTCATCATAAAATCCATATATACGATTTATAGATGCACATTCATGATTACCACGAAGAAGAAAAAAGTTTTCTGGATATTTTATCTTTTAAAATAAAAATTAATTATGTAAAAATCTGATAAAAAATTGAGAAACAGATAAGCAATTACTTTATAAGCTAATAACAGACATATTGTTTCGAGTGATTGTTTTCCACGATCGACATAATCACCAAGAAATAAATAATTAGATTCTGGTGGAAAACCGCCATATTCAAATAAACGAAGTAGATCATAATATTGACCTAAAAGTTTAGTTGTTTTTTTTGCAAAAAAATAATCAAAGTGCATATTTCAATTAGCCTACCATGAATGTCACCTAAAACAAGCCAAAAAAAAAATCAATTAATTTTTGAAAACTTTATTTCAAATTATTTTTCCTTATCGTACCGCAAATTTTAAGTGGTGCTTCAAGTTCAAGTAAAATTGGTTGACTAAGAAATATTTCTCGTGATTTTAGACATAATCCGCGTACTTCATTTTCGCTTAAATGAACATTTTTATTGGGCTTAGCTCCACGAACTAAATTTAAAAGACATTTTGTTATTGTTACATATTCGAAAGAAACAACAAAGAAAAATTTATATATATATATATATATATATTACATTCAAGCAATCGTTGAATAATTCCATCAATATTTAATTTATCTTGTTCGCTTGCCATTCAAACAATAACAGAAGGGAATAGAATGAGAACAAAAAAAAGTGTGAAACAAACGAAATAGTATAACGTTCAGGACAGGATTGGAGATGAAAATATGAAGATTCTAAACGATAATTTGTTTTTCTTTTTGTTTTTCAATTATTTTTCACCATTATTCATATCCTACGAAATTGTTCTACACAAATGACAAGAACAAAATACGATCGCGATTTTGTTATCTATAAATTTAAAAACAAAATGATGCCGAAGACAAGAAAAAACAACATGTAGCCATTTTCTAATAGTATCGATACTCTGTTTTGAAGACATAAAAACAAATCGACTGTTTCTGTGTATTTCGAAATGACTATTCAGATGGATGACAAATATTTTACAATCAAAAAAGAAAAAGACAAAAAGAAAAACAAGGAAAAAACATTTCTTTGTTTGAATTTTTTTATTTTTTTCTTTATTTATGTTTGAATATAAGTTATTAATGCAATTGAAGGAAGATCATAGTAGAGAATAAAATTAATGTTTTCATTGGTTATTAAATGGCCAATTGTTGACTTCATCTTCTTTTGTCATCTACTTGCTGTCTACTGTTTATTTTTTAATATTTCTCTAGATTTTCATAGTGGCGGATCTAAGATTTTTATGATGGGGACACTTCAATTGGGATAGGGAGCGATCATGACCATAAGATATATTTTGAAACTCATCAGAAACAATATCAGCTCATTTTATGACCTTTTCGTCTGCGAGAAACTAAGAAAATTCTTTTGACATCGAGCCAATAGCTCCCAGCGTTTCCTCTGAAACCGTCACTGGAAGTCTAATAGTTTTGTTTGTAGGAAAAATTTTATTTTTTGAATAAATGCAAAACTCGAAATCGTTGTTTGAGTAAATATATATGATTTTTTTTTGTTCAAAAAGTTTTTCGAAAGTAAAGAAAGCGATGACACGAACGCTTGTAAAATAATTATAGAATGAATCATAAGGAGAAAATTTTCGGTATAATAATCTCAAATAAGGAAATTCAATTTACACTAAACTCATCAAGATGTGTTTTTTTTAATTGCTTTTGTTACGTTGTTGTTTATAATTTATTCTTTCTTTTTTTTTTGGGTCTTTTTTTATACGAAAGCTGTTAGCTGGAGAATCAGAATCAAATAGATGTTGTTCACGTTGTGAATAAATAACTGCTTTTGTTTCATCTGATGACAAAGGAAGCTTTTCTTGTTTTTCTTACACACAATGTCAGACTTACTGGATTTTCTTGTTTGATAAGTTCTTAGTAGTTTCATATAGTAGTTATTAATTGACTTGTCAGCTATTAGAAAGAAGCAACATATTTGTCATGAATTTGAAGTTTGAGATGATAGTGTAGTATTTCTGTAGAATAATATCCTCCACTATTAGTCGATATTTTGTATTTTAAAACAAGATGAGTAAGTCAAAATAATAGTAATACTAAATTAGAGTTGGCTTGAGGCTTTCAATATTGGGAGCAGAGAGTGTAAAGGGTTTTTTTTTTCTAACATAACGCATGAAAATTTTCGGCTTCGCTAGAAACAAACAGAAAGGTTTCTTAAATGAGGGGCTTGCTGTCACACCCCTTCCATCCGATCTGCCCATTCCTATATAAAACTACTTGTAATTATTGGTTTTTTGTAAAAACATGAAATTTTCATGTGTATATTATAACTGAGAAATGTCAAATCTTTCTTCATTAAACAAAAAACAAAAGTTTCATACAACCATCGACGGAAATTTATAGTCTAATAGGTCTAAATTATGCTCTATTGAGTTTTTTTTTCTTCTAGATGGATGCTATATTTCAAACGGACAATATCCATGAGCCGTAAAATTTAAGATTTTGCTTTAACTTAAAATAAAATCTGTTCTTTTTTGTTGTTTTTAGCACTACATTTGAACATTTTCCACCTGAAATTCTTCATCTTATTTTTGATTACTTAACTGGTGATGATATTCTTAAATCATTTTTATATCTCAATATACGTTTCAATACTTTGATTAAAAACCTTCGTCTAAATACAATTGAAATTTCAACATGGACACGTCGAGACATAATAAATTTTTTTAAATGTTGTCTAAATTATATATCAACATATAGTGTTTCATTAAAATTAACAAATAAAATTTTACAATATGATTCATGTTCAGCAAATATTGAATTTATATTTTCATCATTATTGGATTATAATCAATTAAAATATCTTATAATGAATTTACAACAATTAATATTTATTCGTCCAATTATTGATACAACAATTTGTTTACCTGATATTATTCTAGAATCATTTATTATTTATTCATTTAATGATAAAATTATTTTTAAGAAAAATATATCTCAACATAAAATTGATTGTATTATGATATGTAGTAATGAAATTTTAAGATCATTATTAGTTGATAATGGTGGAATTTATAATCAAATATTAATCAATTTTCAAAATCCGATCATTCATACAATTATACCATTTGTACGACATTTGAAATTATATATAGATGCTTATAATCAACAATGGATTCATATGTCACCATTGATTATTAATAGTATATCTGAATTAACTCTTTTTATAATTGATAATCAATTTGAATATTATAACGGACAATTATTTAGTTCATTGTTACAAAATATATCAAATAATTGTCATCTTCATTTTTATTTACAATTTATTCCGAATGTAATTATAACAAGAAGAGATATTGATGTACTTGCTCAAAGTTTTCAAAATGATTTTTATATACAACATCAATCAAATGTAACAATTGCTTATTGTCGAAATTTTCAAATAGCCGATGATTGTCCATTACTTATTTATACATCACCATTTTGTGCATCAAAAATTACGTTAATTAATAATCAACAAATAATAGGTGTTTGTGTAAGTCTACTATCATAATACCGCAGAAAATTGATTTCGAATAATAATATTGTTATTGAAATCAACTTCTTTTAAAGACTAATCTTGGATCAGATACATGCAAATCATATGAAATTTTCAGTCGTATATCATGATGTTTTCGAAAGATATTCATCAAATACGAGTGAAAAATAACTCTTTTGACAATTGAAAAGCATCTGTGGTTCTCATTCTATATATAAATTTTTCTTATTTGGAAGAGTATGTCAAATTACAGTGTCTAACAGAGCCTTTCTTAAATCCGCATTTTTTATGCGAAGCACAAGTATGACAAGTGGATGATAACAAAATAATAAACATAGAGAAAAATGAAAAAAAATGAAAGAGATTTTGCTCTTGTTCTAAATAAACAAATCAAATGTTTTTAACAGAAGATGGCGCAAATCATCGAAAATCTCTTTATTAAGTGACATTGTTTATGAAACACTCGGCCTTAAACTATCCTTCCATGCATTAATCTTAATTTCGATTGATCTAACCAGATTTGACATGTTTTTCAGAAGGACGGTTGAGGACACCTTAAAAATTTTATGCTAATAATTATTAATAAACAATAAAAAATATATCGATTATTCATTCGATTGTTTTCAATACATGTCTATTTTGAGTCAAATAGGCATGTGTTTTATTTCTCAAGTGAATCATATTATATTCTATCGTAAAAAAGAAGAAGCCAATGCCAATGTAACCTTGAATGTGAATAAAGGAACACTTGGAAATGGCAATTATCATATGTTATAAATTGCAGTATGTTTACGTTTTCGAAAAAAAAAAGAAATTATTGAGATTTCTGTAATTTTCATATTTACGCTAGTTACATTACGAATCATAGTAAGAATTTTCAAACGTTGGGAAAATTCCAAAAGTCCAATAATTATGGAAATTTAAAAGCTAGAAGTAATTTCCGAAACTATATCATTGAAATATCTGAAACTTCCACAATTACCTCTTTCAGAAATCTTAATGTTGCTAATGAATAAGAAGAATCTGTTTTTTTTCTTCCGTACATCTATTTTTAATGAAATGATTTTAACTGAATCTATTGAGTTCTTTCTTTTCTGTCCGTTCAAGAATAGATAAAATTAGAAATTGTATAAATTTTTTTTTCTTTTAGTCTGATTATACAAATTTAACTCGATTAATCTTTGATCCATGTTATCCAAATTATCCTAGCCTTATTCCTTCAAATAATCCAATAAATTTTTTATCTAATTTAACATCGTTAGAATTAATTCATACACCTCGATATCATTCTAATCGAATGATGATTCCATTAAATATTATTCTTCAACAAATTATTTCAAATATACGTCATATGCATTTGCTTAGTGTTCAATGTTCATCTTATTTCATCAAATCTATTTCACCATTATTTTCATTTCAACATCTACGTTATCTTGATATAACTGACAATGACTCAAATTGTTCTATTTTATGTGATATTCTTGATCAAAGTAAATTTTGTGCAAATATTTTTCATTTAAATATATCCGGTTTATGCCGTCTAAAAGATACACATATTAAAGAAATTAGTAAAAAATTTTCTAAACTTCAAACATTAAAATTTCCTATGAAATTCATATCATCATTTAATGAACAACTTGATACAATAGGTCAATTTATTTTAATTCAAATGCGTTTACATTTACATTATGTTCACATTTATTTTCAACATGAAAACTTATTAATTATGTCAATGACACCAAGTGAAAATCAATTAAGTGAATGGTTAGGTTATAATCAAAAACGATTATTACATGTACAAGCTATTGAACTTAATAGAAATGAATTATCTGCATGGATGTGAAATAAGAAAATTTTCAATTTTGTTTTGTTTCGCTTTTTGACAATATTAATTTGTATATTTGAGTGAAAATATATATTTTTTATCACAAATTAGTCTTTTTCTTTTCTTTTTTTTTTATTTGTTAATATCCTAAAGATTGAAGGTTAAGAATGGGTTGACAGCCACGTAAAATGTAGAACGATAGATTACATAAAAGAAAAGATAAGCTTTTGAATTTTATCATATCGTAGGGTTTAGTTATCACTAGACATCCTAAACATGGAGATAGCATATGACATCATAGTTTTATTTGCACATAGAAGGTAAATGGGACAAAATAGAGAGAGAAGATAACAGAGTAGCATTTTCATCGTCACAATTACTTTCAAGTCAGATTGACATGAACACGTACGGTTCGAATAAAAAAAGTTCTAATGTCAGTAACTTTTATTTTTATTTTTCAATTATTTTATTAGAATTCTGTAAACATTATTTCAGACTTGGAATTCGACTCGAGCGAGTATATCATTACCGTCCATGTCTGTTATTGGCTCAGCTCAACCAGATGTTGTGAGAATTAAAGTTTATGTAAGAAAATATGTCGTCTTATTTTTGAATATTATTATTTTCTTCATAATAAATTATTCTAGAAACCGAATAGTAATACAAATGATGCCAGTCATGAAGTTGGTTCATCGAAAAAATTTTGTATTGATCCACGTTTAACAACTTATCAAACATTACAATGTTTGATTGCTCAAGCATTTGATATTAAAACAGATTTTACTATACAGGCTATTCATAAATGTCCAACAACTGGACGGGAACAACGCACAGCTATTTGGTCCGATTGGGATCTTGATGCATCCATACAAGCTGTTCAACCTGATTCATATTTAAGATTACGTTATGAATTAACTCCTCGAGAAGAAGGTATTGAATTAAGGGTACCGTTCTTTTGAAGCACTTTTCGTTCGTCGTGAGAGTAAAAGCTGTCGAGCTCAAATTTTAACCGCAACTAGATTACCGAAAATGACAGAAGTTTTTCCATGAACATAGCTCCTGTCATATTTCGATGATCTAATTGTGGTTAGATTTTGAGCTCTACCGTATATACTCTCGCCTAAATCGAGAAATGATTCAAAAGAAAAGATTGCTCTTAAGTAATATTATCTGTATATCGAAATTTTATTTAGGTCTTGATGATTGGGATTTTATTGGATTAAATGATTTCAATGCAAATATTCGTTGGTTTAATGTTGATAGTCGATCTATTATTGCAACTGTAAATCACACAGCTGGGAAAGCGGCTTCCGCATTGAATAAAGCCATTAGTACGAATTGAATATTTTTTGCAGAAACTTTTTTTTATAATATAAAATTTTTAGATTGGATGTATGGAGGAAATGAACGACGTAGTTCAAGACCAGTTAATGATAGTGATATGAAAAGATTTCTTGATTGTGAAGGACGTCTTATAAATGTAAATGAATTAAGACAAGCTATATTTGAAGGTGGTGTTGAACCATCATATCGTAAAGTTGTATGGCGTCATTTATTAAACATTTTCCCCCCTAATATGACTGGTCTTGAACGGATTGATTATCTTAAATGTATAGAAATTAAATATAAAACGTTCGTAATTCTTTTTTTTCTTATTTTTTATTTAAAAAAAAAACAAGTTTGATTGTTTTTGTTAGATTAAAAAAACGATGGACAGATGAACAACATCAAAATGAACATACTCGATTAATTATGCGTACTATAGAAAAAGATGTCTCACGAATTGATCGAGCATTTGGTTTCTATGGTGATTCTGGCCGTGGTTATGTTAATGTGCAATCTCTATTTCATATTCTTATGACATATTGTTTTAGTCACCCAAATATTACATATAATCAAGGTTTGTATTCGACATTGTTTGTTGTTTTTCTTTCTCACACTTGGAACAGCAAGTAAAGTAAGTATTTAAATTAAGAACATTAAATACATTTCGATTAGTTATTTATGAAAAACTTATCGTTCTTATCGAGCCAAAGCATGAGAATAAAGTTCTCAATTTTATATTTGATGACATGATTAGGTTTTAAGAAGATTTTAAAATTGTTTTCTATGATCGACAAATGTTCTTCGAAGAAAAATAAAATTGTAATAAAGGATAGTTCGAAAGTTTTTAGACAACATATTTAACTATTTTTCGCATATTTTATATACTTTAGAAACGAGTGAAAAGTAGTGTATTAGAAACAGAATTTTATGATTCTTCAGAATATACAGAATTTTTTTATTACTTTTGACTATAGAGCAATAAGTAAATATTTTAAATAAGTTCTATACATATATAGTACTTGAGAATAATCTCTACTTTACAAAATGACACACAAGTTGAGAATTTTGGTTAGTCCGCTAAAAAATAACAGAATTGTGACGGAAGATCATTTTGTGCTAAAAAGAAGAAAATCGGAACAATAGTCATTTTTCTTGCCACAGACTTTCTCAAAAGGTTTTACTGTATCTCATCAGTATGCAAAAAATTTTTATTCAAGTATCTACTTTGCAGAGAAATATGTCTTACATAATCTAATATAGTCGATCAAATTTTGCGGCATGTCTCAAACAAGTTATAATCGAGTTTTTCTCTTTTAAAAAAATGTTGGAATTTTTTCAAGATTGATTTATAGTTCAATAGTCAGAAGTCATAGAAAAAATTTAAGCATATATTCTTGAAGAATACAAAAATTTGGTTCTGATTCATTATCACAACTGTTTTCTTCGAAAATAGTAAGTATTAGTTTGAATCGAGAGTTTTACGGCTCTCACCAAGGCTCTAGCAAGGAAACGTGGATCATCAATAACAACAGTACTTGAATCATTTTGGAACTTTCTAGAATCTCTCAAAATATTCTATGAATCTAAGATTTCTACTGTAGATAGTAACTAGTCAAATCATTCCAGATTTTGTTAATTTAATACAGTGAAAGAATCTTGTCGTAGTATGTTGGTTGATCTAACGAAGCGAAGACTAAAATGATATTATCACTGCTAATGGCATATATTATATATATTATCATGAAGGGAAAAGAAGTGATGCATACCAAATATCTTTGATAATATAAAGAAATTTTTTCATTATAACAATTTAATAAAATATCAGAATAGTAATTCTCACTAGAAACAATTTCGAAATGATAAAATTTGAGAGTGCACGTATCAACTATAAAAATTGTAATAGTTTTCATTGTGATTTTTCATGAGGCTTGGTTTAGATTAGTTGTTTACTAAAGATCATAAGGATTGAACTGTTTTCAGGAATGAATGATTATGCATCAACTCTATTATATATAATGCGTGATGAATCATTAGCATATATATGTTTTTGTTCAATTATGAAACGTATTCAAGCCAATTTTGCAACAGATGGAGTAGCTATTGCAACGAAATTACATCACCTTAAAATACTTTTAAAAGCTATTGATCCTGTTTATTGGAGTTTTCTTGAATCATGTGATGCAGGTATATTATTATCGAAAAAAATTTTCTTATAATTAAAATTTATCTATAAATAATATTTCTTTAATTATTTTAGTAAATCTTTATTTTACATATCGATGGTTATTACTTGAATGTAAACGTGAATTTCCACATAATGATGCTTTACGTGTACTTGAAGTTATGTGGGCAACATTACCAATTGATAATGAACCACCACAATTAAGTGACATATGTTTAATAACTTCACCATCTGATACAATGATTGCTGATAGTTCATCTTCAGTACCATGTGAACAAAAAAAACGTCGTGCACTTAGTTGTCCTCCATTATCAATTATTGATGAATCAAATTCTCGTAAATATAGACATCGTACTTCTTCATTTAGTTTCTATAATAAAGAACAATTTTTATCTACTGTACAACATCTAGAACAACGAAATAGTAATACAATATTAGACAATGACGAATATCAATTGTCTTCATTGAATAATACTAATGCTAATTTGAATTCTTCATTGCCAAGATCAAGAGGAAGAAGTATAGAAAATTCATTTTCACTTAGTGAAATATCTGAATTTGATTTCGATAATTTATCAACAACTACTAATAATAATACTATGTGTGGTACTACTACCACTGCTGCTGTTGGAGTTCAACAAAATTCATCAACGATAAATTGGTTACAACGATTATTTAATGATGAGGCATTGTGTCTTGAAGAAGAAAATTTATTTTTACTTTTTCTTTGTGTATCTATATTATTGGTTCATCGTAATTTTTTATTAAAACAAACCAATCTTGATGAACAAGAAATTTCAATACACTTTGATCGTTATCGTCGTCGTCATAATGGTGAACGAATATTATCATATGCACGAACATTGTATGCGCAATACATACAATGGGCTAGAAAAAAACGTATGCTCGATGATCTCAATAACTTTTCCGGTAGTTAATCAAGCATGTACTATTTTTTTTCCAATACAGTAATTATTATCATTATTATTTTTGTTGTTATCTTGTTTTGTTTTGTTTTTGCTAACTGTCTATTATTATTCTATTTGTCTCATTATTTATTAATTATTTACATTTTTTGTCTTTTTGATAGAGAATTCAGTATTAAGGGATATAATAAAAAACCGCAGAAACAATTCGTTTTTTGAGATGAGACATTGAAGCGATTGTTGACTTTCGTTTTACTGCATAAATTTAATTGTAATTAGTGTATATATATATTTCTTGTATATCTGAATAAATGGTAGTCTCAGAGTTTTCTTAAATTGTTTTGAATTTCTTGTTTTTTATTGTTGCATATGCCATAAATTATTGGTAGAAGTATTGTGAAATTGTGTAACCTACGTTCGTAGGCAGTCGATTGTTTGGATTCTAGGGTAGATACAATGTTTCATTTCCTATAAGTATCAAATTTAGAAGTAAAAAGTGAGAGAGAACAAGTTTTTAGTACGGCCTCTAGATAAAATAAAGCTCATATGGCAGCGAATAACAATGGTGCTGATCAAAAAAATAAAATTTGCAATATGAGGGAAAAACAACATGCAAATGTTAATGTTCATTATACCACGACATTCGAAAGAAGAATTTCTCATTGGTTTTCAGAAAAAAGTATTTTTAATGGCGCTATTGAAGTATTTACAAAAAGAAAGATGTTTCGTCGTGATTTTGTTCACTGTTGAAAATACTTGAAAGACATCTACTCTTATTAACTAAAGAAGAGTGAAAAGTTTTGGCGCATTTTAGTTAATCTGACTCAGATTTTCCATGCAGTTCTTCTTCACTTGTAATGAAAGATCTCGGCTTCAGATCATGGCCAATATATGCTTCAATACTTGTTGATACAAACCTCAATGTTTTCTAGAAAACGTTCTCTAAGTCTACTTGATTTTGGTACAGGAATTGTGATGTGCTGCTCAAATCTATCAATCTGATGGAAGGAGGAAAAGAATATTGTAGCCTACCTTAGTCTTGCAGCTCCACCTCCTATGCCTACGGTAAATTATGATTATAATTATTGGTCATTTGATGTATGTTGACAATCTTGAAATTCGAGACTTGTACACTTATCAGTACTGCAAAGTTTATTTATAATTCAGGATTATGAAACTGTTCACTAATAGTCGAATATATGGATACAAATTACAATTGAAGTCTTTTACGTATTATACGAAATACGATGAATTTCGATAACTTACAATGCGGGATTCTCCGCTTAGGAATATCGTAAAAAAGTTGTTCTTTTCAATTGAAAGAGCAAAGTATTAACTGTTGAAAATATACGAAAAAGTTTTTGAGATTAACTACGAGTAGGAAAAAAATTCAATATCAAACGTCGTCCAAAAAACTCTTGCAACGTGCTGTTTTTTCTTTAGAAAAACTTTTTTTTGAAAACCAAACAAAGATCAGAAAGTAGCTCTTACAAAAATTTATGGGTTCTCATATCTTAGAAGATATGTCAGTAATGTTTTAATAGTAAATAATGTGTATTATACACCTTTGTTTTCACAGAAAGAAAACCTCAATATTTAGAGTGATATTCTTGAAGAAAAAAAGAAATTGTAAGAGTCATTTGTTGACGACGTTTACTATCAAATTTATTTCTCACTAAAATTTGATCTACAAAACAACTTTGTTTCCAATGTTTTTTGAAGTTCAAGCGTTGTTCTATCAACTAGAAAAAAAAAGAATGATTTCTCTAGTTTCAGAGTGAGGAATCATGAATAGAGATTTTGGCAATTATTTTTGCGTCAAAGGTTACGTTTACTTCTCATATTGTAACAGTTAAAGTTTTCTGCCTAATAAATATTACCATGATCATTTTATTCTCGTGTCGTTATCTGAAGGCGCCTGCTTTTTTTTATTCTTTTCATTTTTCTTTTTTGTCATACAATTGTTACAAATAAAAGGAGAAACACGATGCGATTGAACATTTTAGCTAAAATAATCGTTTTGTCATTCATATGTACAATTGATGTTACTTTTCTATTGTTGAACTGTCTATTATAGCATTCATATTGTCCTTTATTGATATTTGTATTTTATTTTTTTTACCAATACTTATTGTTATTGCTACAAACTGTAATCAAAAGGGTGATAAAACAGGTCCGAATAAACTAGGTATATTTATGACGACTGTGTTACTTGCTTCGACATTTGGTCTTCTTCTGGTTGTTTATTGCAAAGGCTACATACATGATCTAAGTTTGAGTTTTCCTCTTACGAATAATATTACGTTTATTAGTAGTATTGTCATAAATGCATTGTTATTTCATCGAAAAACAAATGAATTTATTTAAATTCTTTTGAAAAAATAATAATAGAAGTTCGATGATGTGGCATAGAATGCAGTATCATACTTGAAGATTTATATTTATTATTCATTTAATTTATAGAATGAAATAGTTCTAATATATTGTAGGTCAGATAACTTATGTGTCGAGTAGAATCGGCTTTCAGCATTGTAAGGATAGTATTTAGAAAAGAATCAAGTGGAAGATTATAAGTTTTTTTGCGATAGAATGACGTTGCTTTTAATAATATTTGTGCATTTGTACACATATTCTTGCATCAAACATTGATTTTTTTTACTGAGAATCCGACTAAATTTCGCAATATAATTAGAGCTTTCTTTAATAATATTGAAACTTACGAAGCCGAAGATTTATTGTATTGATCATTAGAGAAACAAAACGATTCCAATCATAACGTAGTTGTTTGATAATACTATCTCTACACATACCATCATTGACACATTATCTCATATAAAGATTAATTTTTATGATGAAATTGAATTCTAATTTGCTAATCTAGATATGAAACAGTTTCGATATACATGTTTTTTCCTGTGAATTAGTGATATTGTTTGGCTAATGACGGTCATGAATGGCATATTTGACTAAATTTACTATAAAAAAGGCAGCAAAAATTATGTTTTAATCTGGTACACTGTGAACTATTGAATATTACAGAACGGTGTAAGAGAACATTGTCTCCATCAAAACGCTATGATGATCTGTTGTAGAAGTGTAATAGTGACCCTATTTCAACACCATTGAAATTTACCTTTGAATAACATGATATAGAAACCGTAATCGAGATAGAGAACAGGTGATCATTTTGGTGGAAATAATCATGTTTTACGTCTATAAGACATATTTCTTATCAATTCGTATATTGATAGATGCAATGTTAAGATTAGTTACAAAAATAATATCATTGTGATTGATAATCATCACTAAGTATGATTGTAATTCAGTAGAGTCATGAACTCGAAAATTTCAAAAAATATTCAAAATTATAAATTAATTATAGAAGTCAAAGAAACAGTAAACCTCCGCTAAGTCTATAGATAGATAATGATGAAAATTAATATGAAAACAATAAAAATATTTTAGAATCTTTGTTATACTCTTGTAAAACATTTCTAAATTTGCTATAAGAAAAACTTAATATATTTAATAAAATAAAAAGAAAAATCAGAAAAGCAGGTTTAGTATTCCGTTAAAATACTTTTTTTTTAACAACCACAAGCAAGTAATCATAAATATCGAAGCAACTGATGTATTTTCGAGTCAAATCTATTTTGAACTTACTCAATGTACAACCCTTGTTTCATACCTAATAACTCATTACACATACATCTAATGATCGTTCGTACTTCAATTTTGAATCACATCGAACGAGATATTTTCGTTCTCTTTTTCTAAGATTACATAAAATCATTAAATAAACGTCTATTTTACTTGTTTCAATTAGATAGTATATAAAATAACAAAGGTGAGTTTATCTCTTCAATGCTTTTCTACGAACGACATATATATATTATATATTTTATTGTCAACAATTCAGTTAGCTTTTATTAACACGTCGAATCATTTATTTATCTTCCACTGTTTGACTTACACAGTAACTTAAAAATATGAGCTACAATCCGTATCAGAATCAATACGTACCACCTCCTATTCCAACACCTAGTGCTTTTTATCCACCGCCTCCCTATCCAGCACCTGGTGGATACTGTCCAACACCTTCTTTTCCTGGTCCTGGTGGTTTCTGTCCACCACCACCACCACTCCCACCGGTCTTTCCTTCAGGTCCAAGTTATTATCAACATGGAGGACACTATGAATGTGTACCTCCTCCTGTTTGGCCACTACCTTCGCATCATCATCATGATTTTCATCATCATCATCACCATCATGGACATCATTGATGATTCTTTAGTCTTCTTTAATCAAACTGATATCTTGTCTTTAATGTACTAATTTTCAATGTTTTCATGCTTTATAAATAAATAAATAAACATTTCCATACAAAAAGTAACAACTAATTTACACTTTTATTATGCTTGTTATAGAAGAATTCATCTATAGAGTATATATATATCATAAATGTCTTTTTTGTTCAATAACGTTTTTGCAAACAAGATTGATCTTATGGGGTCTGTTAACCAAATCTAAAAGTTTCATGAAAAGTATTTTGTCAAGAAGACTTATTTATATGAATACTCTAGAGATTTAGTAGAAAACGTAGCAATAACAAAATCTTTTGTGGAAACAAATCATTTACTATTTTAAGTCTAAAAAAGAAATGAATTTTTCTTATTTACAATATAAATGATTTCTATGTCATTATAATTTATAATGAAAACTGTTTGGTATGTTTAAATATTGTATACTATCAATAAAACGAACAATAGTGCGATCATATTTTAGCTGTGTCAGATGATGAATAATATCTTATGATTGATTCATTACAAAAAAAAAATATTATTCTAATCTATTCTCGAAACGTGTCTTTTTGTTATCTTAAGAAATAAAAAAATGGCTATCATCTGTCACTATGATGTAAGCAACATGTCATGTGCAATTAAAAGTTTAGTTGTTTAGCTTATTTTGTTATCATCGAAGAACATGAGTCAGGTAGAGAAAACATACACGCAATAACATCTTATGGTATATAATATGCATGTCTTCTTATATTTCTTCACTTGTTTCAATTTCTATCAACTACTCGGCGTTTCATCTGTGTGACTCGTTCATCATATAAACAAACATGGGTCAAGAACCGTCACATTATCACCATCATCATCCTCATCATCATCATCCACTCCCGTATCCACCACCTGTTGGTTATTGTCCACCGCCGCCTCAATTTCCACATCATCATATACCACCACCTGTGCCTCAATATTGTCCAGCGCCAGTAGTTGACTATTGTCCTCCACCACCACCGTATTATCATCACCATCATCATCATGGTTATCATTAAAGACTCTCAACGATAAAGGCTGCAGAAACATTGTTGGTTTTTGTTTATTTTTATTGTAATAATAATCTTTTTTTGAATAAAATAATATTTTGATCGAATGATGCCATAGAACTGGCATGTATATCTAGCTCTTGTTTTGAAAAATATTACAAAAAAATTGTTTTATTAGTTGTTAGATTCTAATTATGTTTAATTCTTAATGAGACATTGTTTAAAATGGATGTTGTGACACTGTGTCCTATAGCACACAATTTTCACGATAATATTTTCTTTTTTCGTTGTAAATGTTTCTTTGTTTTTTCATTATTCTTATGAACATACTATCGTATGCGACAGATCTCGCTCAAAGACATATTGTATAAATCGAGATAACAGATCATCAAGTGCACACAGAAAACACAAAAGAAGCTCTACTCTTTTAAAATATTGTGTCTTATATACAAAAAAAAAGTGAAGCAAATACAACACAAATTCATTGTTTCTTTTCGTATTTTTCTTTACATCGACGTGACTATTGATTCAGCCTTATCTCAAATCATTGTTGATAAATCAAGATTTGATTATTTTCATGCTCATTACTATCTAATGAACATATTCAACTCAAATATGGTACTATTAATTCAAGCACTGCAAATTTTCATTGGTCATATGTCATTTATCATATGAATCTATTATGACGTGAACATAAGCAAATAGAATCAAGTATTCTGATTTAGATACGCATAATTTTGATATTCAATAGGATTTTTAAAAAATATTTCCAAAAACATTGTTTTGTTTTATTATTCATGCACTTCATTGCATTAATGAAAAACCATTAAGTGTCATGTTATGTAATGATGGTCTCTAGTAAATGGTGAAGTTCCTAAAAAATCCATTTTACAATTTGCTAAACGAATGAATAATTTCAAATTACTTCTGAATACTAATACGGAAGTTTTCTTTCCAAATGCTACGGGCAAAGTATAATCGAGAGAAAGGAGTGGAGAAACTTTACTTTTTTAATTAACTCGATTGGATTTCATCAACAGCAGCTTGTGCTGATTGTGAATGCATTCGATCATATTATAGTATTGTCTATGAATCACTTGGACTAAACGAATCATTTGTTTAATCAATTATAGAAGATTCATATTATAATAAGCAACTTCCACTTGAATTAATATTATGATCGCCTTGTAATGTTTGTTCAACGGAACATGTTGAAGCCTCTGAAAATGTGCCTACTAAATGAATCACATATAGACATGTATCATACTGTTTATTTAATGAAATTTACTCATATCGATGAAATCATGTTAGATAAACGAATTGAAATCTACATTAAATAACTAATACTTACAGTTCTATAATTGCCAAAACAAAAAAAAAAGTATCTACGATGATTTTTATTTTCACATACATATCCACCAAGGAATTGGTGTACATGAATTTATGACGAAAGAAACAATGATCAATACTTGTTTTCTCAAAGAATCATCATGGATACATTGAGGATTCTTTAACAACTTCAAAATTCATATTTCTTACTTCTAAAAAAACATTCAAACACTTGATAAATGAAGCCATAATTAGTCAATAATATGAAAATGAAAAAAAAAAACATTGCATTTAGTTATTCTAATTCGTTGATTATTAATGCAGAAAACTTTCGAGGAAAAAAATGATCGCATAAATTGACCCGTACTTAAATGATGAATCTTGTACTCCGATAGAAAAAAAATTCCATAAGAGATTCATATTTATAATAATATTTAACTTCCGCTAACAATATTCTTATAAATTTCTGCTTCATGTCAATTGATAGAGGTCGCCGAATTAGCTAACACGAGTATATTAGTCATTGGTACGATGACACGATAAATCAACTTGTTTGTTGCTGACTATCAGTACAAATGTCATTGAAAATGTTTCATTAACAGATATATATATAAAATTACCGTCGAAAATTACCGACTAAATCACATCTAATTAAATATTGTAATATTGATTATTATTTGTTACTATAATTTAGTATTTAAAATTAATTTTTGTCCTTTTTATAAACTTCAAATAAACGTTTTACAGAAATTATTACAAATTTATCGTCATTTTAGTCGTTTATTTGCTAAAACTTTACTTGATAAATGTAAATATGATTTTTAATGGTAAAATTGACGGTCACTTTTGTTGACGCTATGTATAAAGTAATACGCAAATATCTTTAGTCTTCTTAATAAAATATTATTTTCTTTAAAAACATGAATTAGACATTATGTGACTATTTCAATTATAAAACACTGATAACAAAAGAAGCATTTTTTTTAACACAAATTTTATTAAAACAAAACTATCAATGGTATATAATATTGTTACTCTTATTTGACTAAAATATAAAAACATCAATACAATTCAATATTAACAAACTACATCAAAATCTTCTTCAACACATGCATGTATGTATCTAAAAATTCTTGTAAATTTCTTTTTTAACTAAGTCTAATTCTGAATTATCAATGGATTTTTTTTTTATCAAACTTTATCATATCAATATTTGTTTTTACAGTTTAACAATGATTAACAAACAAAGAAAACATATATGACCAAGATGTTTTCCAGACATTTAGTGCTCTAAGTTTGAAAATCATGCAAATAAAATTTGAATTTGAATGATAATATAAATAGAAAAATTTTTTTTTTGCATGTAATAAATTTTTTCTTTCACATGTTACCTGCAACTGATCACTAGAGTGACTATCTGTAGATCGATTATAAAAACTAAACGCTTCAAAGAATTCTAATACTTTGTGATGAACTTCATCAACTATCACTGAGCAAAATTTTAAAAAAACGTAAAGAACATTGGGACTTATTGTGTGATATAGATGGATAAAGATACCTATTAGTGATTAATATTAGTTTTTAAAGTTTCATAGATAGCTTGTTGAACTACAGCAAATAAATCACAAAATGGACTGTATTATCACTAATGCACAGACAGAGGAGAATCAAGAATAAAATTAATGCATGTAGAATAAACCTCATTATGTGAAAAAATGAATTAATATTTGAAATGAATATCATGTCTTCAGTTGTCATGCCATACCTCAGACAAAAATAGGGGCTTATTTGACAATATATGTCGAAAACAAATATATTGTTTGAAAATTAGTTTTTATATATTCACTATTTCCTTTTATATTACTTGAAATTCATAGAATATTAGTTGCTTTTGCCCATTAAAAATTATCATAATAGAAAGGAAGATCAAAAGTTCTCATGTCGTTCGATCCCACTTTTTTCGCCATATGGTCAATCGAGTAACCAAAATTACTCTGTATCAATGGCAGAACACTCAATAGACTTGATCACACTGATAGCATATCATAGCGACTAATGTTCTATTTACGAGATTATTTTATCAGTGGCTCCTTTGAGACTGTCGTGGTGTAAAAAAAGGTTTATGTCATCACCAAAAAAAAGTCAAACTGAACTGAGAATAACAATAGATCATTTCAAAGACTGAAATTAAGTTTTGTAAGTTCTATATATCACTAAATGACTTATCGTTTTAGATTTCAATGCAATCATCAAATTCAGATGCTCGTCTTATTGTTATCACTAGTAAAAAAGAACCCATCTCAAATATTGACTTAATTCAATAATTTATTTTAATATGATAAATAATCAATTGGTTTATTCATTTCAAATTAAGTTTCTATCAAATAATCCAATCGATTAAAATCACTTCAAATCATTTAAGAAAATAATTTTAATTAGCAAAGAAATTCTCTTACATTTAATAAGAATAGAAACTAAGCGGGAAAAAAAAAGAAATTTCTTTTTTTATGATATCGAATATTTATTTGTCTGATGATATTCTTTCAACAAATCAATGTTTCATTTGTCAAAAAGAATTTTCATTTGGTGAATTAATTCTTCGTCATTATGATATTGAAGCAAAGAAATATAATTATTATCATCCAACATGTTTACAATGTATAAAATGTCAGAGAAAATTATTAAAAGATAATAAAAAATTTTTAAATTTAATTAATTATTGTGGAAATATTCGTTATGATCAAGTTTTATGTGACCAATGTAAAAAATCAGTTATTTTAATACATGAAAAATTACAAGAAAATTTTAAAATAGAAAAAAAGAATAAATCCAATTTTCACAAATCGTTTGTGTTTATAATAGGAATTTTTATTGAAATTTTTTTACATTTCTTTCAGATTTGATAAAGTTAATATACATAATTATGGTCAATTATTATCTGAACGACTAAAACAACATTATAAATTTGAACAACAACAAAATGATTTAACTATTGATGATGAAAACTATCATGGATTGTGCTATGATGAACATGTTATTGATATTAGAAAACCAAATGATTGTGTAAGGTGATAGAAAAAAGATTTAACAATGTGTTTTTGATAGTTTTCAATAATGTTAAGCAATCAGCTCAAGTCCAGAGAATGATTTTAATGGCCACTGGAATTTTCTATCTAATGCATTTTATACTAGATGAACTATGATGGAACACAACAGTTTTCAGATTCCAGAAGCAATTTTTTCACAATCTTTTTGTTTTAGAAAAAGACAATATGAGGATCTCCTGTATTTTCTCCTTAAAAAGTTAAAAGTATCACAAACATCGACTAAAAAACGGCCTTTTTTTGTTTTTTGTGATGTTTCTAAGTTTTTAATGGAAGCTTCCGTTGTCTATCAAAATTAGTCTCTGGATTTAAGCTAATTGCTTAGTATTATAAATAAATATCAAAAATATGTTGTTGTTAAACGTTTTTTCCACTACTTCATTTGAGCAATTTTTTTTGCCATGGTTCTATAATGTTTGTTAAGTTATCTTTAAAAGTATTACTATTTGACATATTAGAATAATTTTTTTTCTGGCAAAACTTAGCGAATTTAAGTTCGAAGTTTGACGAACACTTGTTTTAAGTATTGAGTATAGTATTCGATATAGACTTTCTAGCTAATTTTGAACATGATGTTGGTTTACTTTTAAACTGAAATTTTAATAGTCAACGTCTCTGAATACGAACTCATATTTTATTGTATTTTTCTGACCATATGACGAGTAAGATAAAAATAAAATTTCAAATAAAAATAAAAATAAAGGCTACCGAGATTAAATATATTTGGCGTATTTGATATATTATAGACTTTTCTGATTTTTTAAATCTAGTTTTTCGAAGTTGTTTCACTCGAAAAACATTATTCAAAAATAACATATTTATAAAGATAAGTCGATGAGCTCTATTCACTCATTGACACAAAAAGAATTTCATATTATTGTCACCTTATCAAATAACTAGTCATCGTTATGATTTTATTTCTTTTGTATGTTTTCTATTTTAGAAAAAAACAGATTTAAATTCATCATTAACATGTTGTAGAAAAGATTGGAATGGTATTCATGAAATAAATCTTAAACAATGTTCACGTTGTCATAAAACTTTTACACGTTTTGATATATATCAAACAAATAATCATATTGATTTTTATTGTAATATATGTTGGATATATCAAAAAGAATTTATAATTAAAAATCAAACACAATCTTCATTTATACGATGTAATCTATGTGGAAAATTTCTGTTAGATCAACTCACAGATGATATTATTTCTATGAATTTTGTTCATCCAGAATGTTTAGAAAAACATTTAAATGATTTATAAATATTTTGATTATTTTAGATTATTTTTAATAAAATGACAAATATTAGATTTTTATCACAGATGTAAATGGATCGTCTTGCTCTTTTTCAATTTGGTTTACTTTTACTTGCTCTACCATTACAATATTTTATTTTAATGAAATGGTCTTCGAAAGATTTTGAACAAACACAAGCAATTACTAAGTAGAATTCTGTTTTCTTTTTTATTTTGGTGAATTAACATTTAAAAGTGTTTGTCTTTTAATTAGAATTACAAACCAAATTAATCAAGTATTTCATTATTTATCACCAACGACATGGTTTAATTGGTTTATTAGTTTTGTTATTGAAGTTCCACTTGGCTTTAATCCACTTTTACATAAACGTACATGGAGGCGTGGGATCGAGTCTCCTGCTACAGAAGTTTATTATATGAGAGAAAAATATGGATATTTTGCTAGTAATTTATCTTTTGTTTTCTTTTCTATTATATTGTTATAACGCATGGGTCAGAAAAAATGAGCCCTTTTATGATATAATCGATAACACTTCCACGAAAAGGACTCATTCGATAGAGAATTTAGTTTTCTATAAAACCTGCTATTCGAAATTTGCAAAGCACAATTATCATCGGAAGAATATTCAAGATTGTATCTTATCATTTTCACCTTGTTCATAATCGTTTTAAATTGCTACTTCAAGTGAATATATTCAATATTTCTATATGACTATAAAGAAAATTCTGTGTCCTATCGATTCGGATTGTTTATAAGTTCATTAGTCACACTTAATAGCTATAGAAACACATAATCCATAATTAAAGTGGTTTAAAGAGAAAAGCACGATCTTCTCAGTACAAACTTAAAGTTTTTGTGTTAAAATAAAAAAACAAAATGTACAACTTAATTCTCAATAAGCCGTCAGCATTATAGGTTGGAATGTATTGAACTTGTATTGGTCTGGAGTCATAAGACTGAAGAGTATGAAAGATGGATATATAAATGCGATTTTTTCAAATCTATGACTGTTGATAAATTTGAAAAGTTTTCTTAAAAAAGAACTCTTGTAGGCGAAGGTATAAAAAATGCATGGCTAAACACAGAGTTTTCTAATGATATTAAAGTTCATAGAGCATCAATTATTGATATGAAGAGCACATTTTTGAAATTTATACTTGTGACTATTTTCAATACTATTCAGATAATTATATAGCTCTGCAAATTTCCAATAACAGGTTTTCTAAAGAATTGAATTCTCTATCGAATTAGCTTTTTTTTTTTGAAAATTTCATTGATTAAAAAAATGGTTCACTATTTCTACGACACCCGTTAAATGATGAAACTTTTTTTTTCTTGACTTTAGCTTCACCAGCTATTCGTTCATCTCGATCTGAGTATGTTAAATATAGAGTTGGTCAAGTTATTCGACATAAAATCTATGGTTATCGTGCAGTAATTATTGGTTGGGATGAAATAGCTTCTGCACCAGATCAATGGCTGGATGAACATCATCACGAACATCCAGTTAATTTAGAAAAATTAAATTTTTAATAAGAAAATTATAGTTTTCTTTTTTTTCCTCTGTCTCTTATTTAGGAATTTAGAACTCAACCAAATTATTCTGTATTACTTGATACAAGAGATCGACGTGCTCATAAAACTTATATTCCACAAGAACATATTGAAGTTATTAAAAATACAAAGGTTTGTTCATAAAAGATTAATATACAAAAAAAATTTCATTCAGAATTGATAGATTTTAAGAATTAAAATTAATTTGTTGAAAGATACCTGAGTCCTTTGGTTTCAAATTTGAGTTGAGCAATGGTTTGTTTATGTGCTTCTCCTGAAACGAATAACACTATACTTCGATGTTTGATAGAAGTAGAAGACAGTATAGACTACACTATAGTATAATATTATTAACAGATCATTAAAAAAATAGCAACTGAGAATCTTTCAATAATGAGCATTTTTTGTCAGTCCCAATGATGCTCATATGAGAGAGCTTTTACAATAGATGCCAATGGATTATTTAGAGAAAAGTAATATCTTTAATATGTATCGAGTATTCTAATCATCAAACCTAGCGGTGCTGTTCTCGATATTTTATGTTGAGTAAAGTTTATTTGTGTTAACATCTTTTTTTTTTGTCGATTCCAGCATGAATATTTTTCATTCTTAATATGATATGTAGGTTGCTTTGTCATCAATTTCAATTTCTTCTATAACTATAAGAATAAGAACAATTAATGAAATTATCATTGATAAATGATAACTACTACGTATAAAAATTCACATAAGAAAAATATAAGAAACAGATCAAAATGATTCATCACTCTTATTTATTAATAGCTGTCACCTTTCAAAATAGTGTTAATTGTAGGACACTTTGGCCTCTATATACCCATAGCTATACTGTATAATAAGTATCTCTTATTGTAGAGCAAAAAAACATCACAAAACTAAAAAAAGAAACAAAAATTTCCACTTAAATTCTATTCTAAAAACAGTATATATGTGCTAATAAAGTATTTTTTTATAATAATATTTATTTTTTCTGTTTAGATAGTCAATGCCCAATTGAGTGATTATTTTAGTTTTTTTGATGGTGTTCAATATATAATGCAACCATGGCTACAAGAACTATATCCACATGATTAATAATAGTCTATCTTCTTGTTTTTTTTTTGAACAGTTTGTTTGTGGTTTTTCTTTCTTGTTATTTTGTATATGTTTATTCAAATATATAAGCACAACATTTTGATGAGACATTTAAATAAAAGTTTTTGATAATAAATCTATATACTTTAGTTTAGTTAATGGCTACTAAACCGATATTTGTTGTTGATAATGGAGCACATATGTCAAAATCAAAGATGAATACATCAGATAAACCAAGGTTTGAATTATTTCTATAATCAATTGTGTTTCAATAAATGAATTTTCTCATATAGAATCATTCCTAATTGTGTCATGAAATCAAAATTTTATCCTCGTCGTACTTTTATTGCTGACCAAATAGATAATGAATGTCCGAATAAAACAAGTCTTTATTATCAATTACCATTTCAAAAAGTAAAGAATTAAAGAAAGTCTAATGAATTTATCAAGCATTAAATTTTTTATATCATTTTTAGGGTTATTTAGTCGATTGGAATATTCAAAAACAAGTATGGGATCATTTATTTGGCAAAGTAAAAATTACTTTTCTTTTTTTCTGTTTCTTTGTTTTGTTTTACATAATATTCTTTAGATACCATTTAAATCAACTGGTTTATTAATGACAGAACCATATATGAATTTAAATTTTATTCGTGAAACAATGGATCAAATTTTTTTTGAAGAATATGAAGTTGCATCATTTGCACGATATGATCGTAAGATTAATTTCATAGCAAAAACCTCATGAAGAAGAAGAACTATTGAAATTATTCATTCTTTTTTTTTCTAGCTGCTACATTAAGTGCCTATCAGTATGAACGAGATACAAAATCGAATTATGTTCTTGTTATTGATTCTGGTTTTTCGTTTACACATATTGTTCCATTCTATCAAGGAAGAAAATTACTTGATGGTATGACAAGGTAAAAAAAGAAAATTAAATGATTTTTTTTTCCTATAAACTATTTCGATCATTTTTGCTTAAAGAATTGATGTTGGGGGAAAATTACTAACTAATCAATTAAAAAGTGTTATTTCTTATCGGTAAGAGCATTCTAAAATATAAAGATTGCGAAAATATTTTGTTGAATTTTAGACAACTTTTAGTTATGAATGAAACGTATATTATTAATGAATTAAAAGAAAATGTATGCTTCGTTTCATTGGATTTTCAAGAAGATATGAAAAAAGCACGGTATGATGTCTATTAAAAGATTCTTCATATAAACTGTTTGCTCGTATTGTGATCATTTCTATATTATTATTGAACACTAACAGGGGTTTATGTACTTTTTCTACATACATATGCTAAGAATCATCGTTGAACTTGAGGCTGATCAATTATAAGAAAATCTCTATTTCAATGATTGAAAATGATGTTTATGCAATCACAATAGGTTTTTAGCTCAAATCAGTTGTTTTATACGGCAATCAAAAGTTCGACTGCTGAGTAAAAAGTACATAAAGTTCAATTTTTTTGCTTGATACTTTAATTAAAAATAGAACTTGGTAAATCCTGATTACAAGCAGCACTTTGAGGTCGATAAGCCATAATGCAAAGATTTTACGATGAAAACATGTTATTCTTCGTATCCCTAGAACTTCAAAAAAGCTTTTTTGATATTTTTCTGATTTTTTTACTATTTAAATGCTTTAAACTTCATTTTCTTAATAATATAATAAGGGTTCGAGTGTCTATATTGTGTCATAGATATGGTACTTCAATCCGTTTTAATCTTGAGATGGAGAGAAGTCTCCATTGTATGGTACGGTTTCAGCATGGATTCCTTGTCCATCGATGGCCGCGATCGTGAAATTTTCAGAAAAACTTTATTAGAGCAGGATACTCACTGAAGCTAATTTCAAAGCTAATGGTTAAAATTAACTGGAGATATAGATCACTTTTCGATGGTTTCTCATCAACTTTCATGTGGATGATTACCTAAAAATTACTTCATAGATCAGGCAAACTAAAATTGTTTAACATGACATTTTTATTGGTGATAGAGACAGCACTGAGCTATCGAATGAGGTATCTAAGGTCATAAGACCTTTTGTCTATGTTGAGATATCCTTATCTGAAGAAAAATCTATGTTGACCTTTTAGCTCCTCCGAATGAAGCTTGATCAAGACCTGATTAATAATTGCAATTAGAGGTTAACATGCTCTATTTGTGGTCAAACTATGATGCTAAAGAGTTTAAGTTTAGGTAATTTTTACCTGGTTGCGAGACTTTTGTGTGACTGATACAATTACTAGTATGAACCAGACTTGGATGTAAAACATTTAATTCAATACGAAATGATTTATTATGATAGGCTAGACGTTCAGGTTCGAAAACTATTGAACAAGTTCAGACACTTTGCTGTATATAGGTAATTACCGAATCGTTTTTTGAGGTGTACAAGCAATTGTGGAAGCATCTAAAAAGTTCGATTACGTTCTGGTTTGTGTAGTTCTGAACATTATTGACTTTTTTATGATATCTGAATACCTTCGGTTTTTGCATCATGTATTCCACTGTGTGTACATCTATTATAGCCAAGCCTGAAATCCTTTTTTTAAGGCTAACTCCTACTTCCTTGTATTAATTAACTAAAAATGACTGCAGTCAAGACCAAACTCAAACGTTTGGGATCGGTATTCGTTTTCGGACAATTGCTTTGTATACAAAGTTTGTTTCTCGAAATCGAATTTTCAAAGTGTAGCAAATTTTATAACTTTGATACGACTTAAATAAAGAAGTAAAAAGACATTCGTATAGAAGACGTAGCTCTATCCAACTGAATAATTAATTACTGCGATATTTTAAGCTGATTATGAAAAAAAAAGGAAAATTGTTGACATATATTTGAAAAACATATAGTGAACTTTGAATTAATTTTTCGTAAAGATCATAAAACGTACAAATATTTGTAACAGATTTTTACATGTTTCTCATTTATTAAAATCAATTTCAGTTTGCCATTATCCGAAAATACAAATTCTATTGATTATGTTTTACCAGATTATAATGAAATTAAACAAGGTTATGTTCAATCTCCATCATCATTAATATATAATGGTAATACAGCTGATAGTTCCAAAAAGAATGCAACAAAACAACAACAGGTATATGAAATAATTTATCAGAAACTAAAATAGAAATGTATTGGTCCTAGGTTGTACGAATGAATGTTGAACGCTTTACTATTCCGGAAATACTTTTTCGACCATCGATTATTGGTATTGATCAAGCTGGAATTGCTGAATCAATTTATAATTCTGTTGAAGAATTACCTGAACGTAAGATTAATAAATAGATATGTACTAAATCCGAACGTTCCGTTTTAATCTTTTCTGCAATCGTTTTTCGCTAACTAATAAAAGTAGTCGAAGTAATTCATAAAAAGAACCATTTCAAGATTGGCTAAGTAAGATCTACACATAGTGAAATAGATGATGGAAAAACTTAAAGTATATCTCAAAATAAAAGGCTTTGACAATGATATAAAATATTTTATTTTGTTTCATTTGGTTGGATAGATTCAAAATATTCAACTGAAGTTTGGATTTGGTCCAAGTCTATTAACGAAATCTTTTTTTTCTTTTAGTAATAAAGAATTTTCTTTAATTTAGATATTCGACCAAGTCTATATAATAATATTTTATTAACAGGTGGAAATTGTTTATTCCCAAACTTTAAAGAACGTTTGTAAGTTAAATATTTCTTTCCTTTTCAATATATTATTGTTAGAATTTGTTTTGTTTTAGAGAAAATGAATTACGTTCTATGATTAAAGATGATTATCCAATTCGAATAACACTACCAGAAAAGTAAATAAATGTTTCTCCTTTATATTTATATATATCCCTCTATACTTGTTTTCTTTAGTCCAATAACGCATGCATTAAATGCTGGAGTTACATTAACAAACTCATCTGATTATGCAAATTATTGTGTAACTAAACGAGAATATGATGAACATGGTGTATCTATATGTCATCGAAAATTTACGGATAATTCTTAAATAGATTATGTGATTGATTTATTATTTTTTTGTCATTAATAAATATTGTCAGATATACAGGATAGAAATTAGTACACGCATTTAATGCTCATTTTATAAATGATTCTAAAATGTATTCGTGTTCATAGGTTTTTGAAAGAGTAGATTTATCAATGGCATTCGAAATTGTTTGTATTCTAATATACAAATCATATTGTAATAAATTTAATACACTACGTATGTGTTTCGTAGCTGATCAAAGGAATAAGATCAGTGATTTTCTCGTTTATACCACTGCTTTTAAAAAGAAGTTATGCAGATAATTATTCATATCATCAAATTTTTATTCGAATTGTTTGTATGTTCAACAGAACGGTTCTTATTCATTACGAATATCCGTTAAATTTATATAAGTGATATCCATTTTTGCTTTTATCTGTTTTACTCTTGTGACACCAAGCTATTATTTAAAACTATTCAAAAAGAAGCAAAGATATATCTGATATATAACTATAGCATTAATCTAAGGCATATAATACATATTAAAAAGTAATGATTGATATACATTGATTGATATTAAAATACAATTTGTTCCTGTCCTTATATTGTCCAAATGTGAAATTTACATTCTACGATTGCCTAATTAAAATTATTTGATTTTTCTAAGGAAAATTATCTTATTAATCGATATCAATGTGTTATTCTATGGAGAAGCAATAATGGGTATTCAATAAGTTTTAACTCCTGTTAATCGATATTATTACTACAAGAATATAAGTATTTTAACATTTCATAAAAAATTTTGAATTATTTTTTTTTTGAAATATTTCTTAGGCTTCTTTAATTAAGTTAAACGAAACAGTGACGAATGAAAAGAACTTGACAAATGGAATGTTCTAAAGAAAATCAGAGAAACTCTCTATCAAGCCTTTTGTATATATTCTTCATTTTGAACTATTCCGTGTTGAAATCAACTCGATATTGTTCATATTATTTACACTTCATGCTAGATAATGCATTCTGTGGTTTTGTCATTTGTTTTATGAATAATTTATCAGTTTCAATTTAGTTAATTGAATGCAATAAACGCAAAATAGTTTGAAAGCGACAGAAGAATTCATAAAAGAAATGGACGAAACCGTAGAAAGTATTTTCTATCACGAAGTCTACATCATGCAAGAAGGATCGATTTGATTTTAGCAAGTAACCGTTCATAATGAAGAACACATGCATGAAGTTTGACTGAGAGTATCTCTCATTCTTATTTAGAACATTTCATCTGTCACGTTCTTTACATTCATAACTATTTCGTCTAACTGAATTCAAACAAAAATTTTAAAAAAATCTCAAAATTTTCTATGCATCAAACAACAATATTAATTCAGTCGATCAAAACTTAGTGAATACATTTTACGTTCCATAGACACTAATATATTTAATGCACATAGTTTTATCGTTTAATTATAGACAAATAGAAGAGATTGGTTTTTTTTTTATTATTTTTGTTGTATCTTATTTATTCTTTTCGACTTCAAACAAGTTTTAATGATGATGAAAACAATAATAAATTTGTTGAGTCGATGAATGCTAACCATTTCGGTTGATAATCGCTTTGATGTTTAGATTCGCGATGGATAAAGCATCTAACATAAAATAAATTACCATAAATATGAAAAACAAAAATGTATTAAATACATACAACTCGAATTCGTCGTCCGAGAGCTTTTGGTGGTAAATTACGACGGAATTTAGCACGTACAGCACCACTTTTACCATGTGCTCGGGTAACTTTACCCCAAAGAATACGAACACGATTTAAACGTTTTTGACCAGGTACTAGAGTTTTACTTGAAAAAAAAGCAACAGCAATTTAAAATATTTAATTAAATGAGTATAAACTTACTTTTTAGCTTTGTATACATAAGCACAACGTTTACCTAAATAAAAATTTGTTTCACGTCGAGTATTGACACCGTCGAGTTTAAGTAAAGCAGTATTTTCGTGTTGATTACGTTTGCCACGTCGAAAACCGGTAAAAACTGCTTTTACGTAGAGACTAAAAGGTAAAAAAAGAATAGTAATAGTTTTTCATGGAAATTGAATTGTTGCCACATACCGGCCTTTTTTTATGTATGCACCTTCAGGTTTTTCAACTTTCTTTGACGATGTCATTGTTTGATCGGTAGTCAAATCTGAAAAAATAAAAAATAAAAAATAAAATTATCTTCGTCAGATGAAAACACGAACAAACTGATTTTTTTTTTTCATTTTGTTAAACAAAATAAATAAAATAAACAAAATACCTGATTGGTTGAACATAAACCATTACTCAAGGAGTTTGTATGAATATAAATATATAATATTCATTAGTTTTATGATTTTAATTTTATATTAAATAAATATTTAAAACTTTTTTTCGAATATTAGTTCGATGAAATATTTTTTTATTAAATTCAATTGGTTTTTTAAATATCCAATCATAAATTTGATTCGCTTTTGTGTGCTAATCCAAATATGTTAATGCGCGAATTGAAATTGAGCAGAGTAAAGTAATTGTGAGACATAGAAAGTCAAGTTTACTTTTACTTCTTAGTGAATCAAATGAAGTTTGATTAGAACTATGAAAATTTTTGGAAGAATCAATTAATACTCGTTTTATTTAACAATTTAATTGGTCAACCTGCTATTAAAACTTAGACAACATCATCAATATTGGCCAAGGATGGTTCGATTTGAGTATCAGACACAACATTCTTTAATCAGAAAATACTTGCGTTCTTTCGTAATGAAGACTATAATTGTATTTTTGAAAATCTGTCAGAAAAGCCATGATTGGTTTTACCAAATGTATGCAACATGTTCATAATGTTGAGTGTACAGAATTCATGTTGAGTATAGCAAATTTCTATGCAGTCTGATCTCACTCTGTACACTGCAACATCTTGATGAATCTATTTAGCTGCTGCATCAAAATTAATTTTTGTATTTTCAAGTCTGAATTCACTATATGAATAACTTTACTTCTTATTTTGATAATAAATTTTATAATGAAGACTAAAGTTTAGATAACGAAGAGAGTTGCATCTACGTATGGAACAAATATATTCCAGCAAAATATATTACCTTAGATCGATTTAGTCTAATGTTTTATAATACTAAGCCACTTTTTTTTCTTAAATCTATTATTGCCAGTAGCTTTCGTGCAAGTCGATCTACGAATCTAATAGAATAGTAGAACTTCAATCAAGACAATATTGAGTTATTTAACCTGATAAAATTTCTATTTTAGATTATAAATGTCATCCCAAGGTGAATGTCTTTCTCAACGGACTGCATTTCATACTGCTGGTAGTCATAAAGTAAAAAATTTCTTTGTTTTATTTTCAATCAAAAAAAGAAACTATATCTTTAATTTTCAGCCGATTGAAGTAAAACAACAATCATTAGCTCGTGTTGCTCAGATTATGGGTACAGTCGGTGAAGATAATGAAAATACTAATGAAAATAAAAATAATGATTTATCTGAAAATGAAAATGAATTTGATGGTGATGAAGTTGATGATGATCTTGTATTTAGTACAGTACCACAACGATCAACAATTGCCACAACATCAAAAATACATTTTGATGAAATTGATGATGATGAAATGCGTCGTTTTGCTGAATCATTTGAACAAGAACAACAAGACACTAAAATGGATGATAATGATCGACTTGGTGATGATGATGATGATGATGATCAACTTTGTCAAGAGTATGCACGTAAAATGCAAACACCAACAAAATCCATACAAATTGAAAATAATAAAAGAAAAGAACCATGTATTGAAGATCTTGATGCACTTCTAAATGATAATGATAATGATGAATATAATATTGAAAATAGAATGGAACAACAACAACAAATGTCACCTGTTTTTAAAAAGAAACCATAAATTCCTTTTTTTTTATCATATTTAGAATGTTCCTTTTTTTTTCGTTATACATATATCTATAAATACGTTTTTAATAAAAAATGAAAACTAAAAAATAAAGGATTTCTACAGTTTTTCAATTAGCTTTTTATTTTTTTCTCACTTTGATGACTGCAGTGATCATACGTGACAAAGTCACAAGGTTTAGTTCGTTTGAAATCTAGCCTAGATTCAGGTATTCTAGGCTGAGTTAGATTCAAACATTTGTTTCTCATGCTATCAGCTTGATAGGTTTATGTAGTACATCGAAATTCTCGTACTAATTTCAAAATTTTTCACCATCTTTTATAGCAGATAGCAACATTTTCGTAGGAAATATTGGATTTTGTATAATTAAATGTTAGATTTTACATTATCAATGACTTGAAGTAATATTCGTTTGTTACAAGTAAGAAAGAGTTTTACGAGAAAAAGCCAAATTAGATAAACTACATGCTCTTAAAAATTTTCTTTGTATTCATTTGCTAACTTTACATGTCTAAAAAATATATTTCAACAAAAAACAAAAGCAAAATCGAGTTCTTTTTTTTGCCCATGTTACTGCTTTACGATTGTTCTGTTTTTCTATAAAGTACACACGAAACTCTTCGTTAGAGAGCCAAAACTAATGAAGAACAACTGTTGGTGTACTTTGTTAAGTGTGCTTTTTTTCATAGAACATGCGACCTTTTTCTGAACAGATTTGTCCTTGTACAGTGCGAAACGTGTGTTGAAAAAAAAAAGAAAACACAATATTTTTTTCGAACATCATAAAATACTTCGCTTTCTTCTTCATCTCTATTCGTAATTATCCGATGCCAATCTTATATAAAAAATATTAAGTCTATCCTCGATTCAAAACATTTTGCTGCCTATGGTAGTGACCATTTATAGAACACTTGTAGAAAACAAAAAGACCATGTTTGCTAGCGAACTTCATGAACCACAAATTAATAACAAAATACTTTTTTCTGTGTTGATTCATCTTAAAAGAAAAGTAGATGACGAGATCTATTAGTTTGAAAAACCTGTAAAAGTTGGGTTTGTTTTGGAAATGAAATATTTTTCCACTAAAACAAAACTATATGATAAAAGTGTATTCTATGATATAAAACAATGACAACATCTACTATTAGTATCAATACCATTCGAAAGTTTTACAAAAACTCGATAGAAAACAAATGATAAAACATAGAATGATTAATAACAAATATTTCACAAAAACTTTACGTTTAGTTTTTCAGCCAGAAATGAGCAAATCAAGGTATTATTTGATATGATTTGAGAGTTTTTTAACTCTTGACTTAACTCGACTTCACTTGACTTGAATATTAAAAATCTCTGACTTGTACATTTTTGGAAATATACTAAAAGTATGCTTTAAAGAAAGATTTGATGACCAAAATGATTTCAATGTCGTCAAATCCATAACAAATAAACATATTGTAATTAATAAAAATGGGTCAATTCGCTAGTACTTTTTTGATAACATTGATATAAACACTCGATTAGATACATATCAAATTTAATAAAAAAGACAAACTTTTTGAAAAATAATTGTGCTCCATACATAATACGTAAACAAGATAGAATTAACAAAGTTCTATGTAGAGTCAGAAAATAATATAAAACCATCATACTATATAGCGATATATGAATTTCAATTATGATGTCTTAGCTTGAAATGGGTTTCGAAAAAAAATTGAAAACAAATCATTAAGTTATTTAAATAAATGTATAATTAGTAAATTTACAACAGTCAATACCAGCTAAGTCCAAGAATTAATTTTTTAAAAATCTTTTCATCAGAATGTTGTGTTATGTAATTTGTTGTTTATTAATTTGAAAAGATACAAATATATGAAATACTTGAAGTAAATATATGTCACTGAAGGATAAAATCAAGACTAATTAGTCAAATATGTTATGTATGACGGAAAAGAAAGCTTTAATTCAAAGAATAAATAGACACAAAGTAGTATTTAATTAGATCTTGAAATAATGAAGACTAATTAAAGAAGAGAAAACGCAAATCATATTCTTGTGAGAAACAAAGATTTTAATATCCACTGAAAGTTAGTTCTTTCATTAGAATGATAATGAGCTCTTAACTAGTTATTAACATTTTTTTTTTCTTTTGTATTTTTCAAAGTAAAAACAAAAAGCGAAATTAGATCAATTATGTGCAATTCAGACACGGAGTATGGATATAGATGATCGATGAACAAATGACATTGCAAGATTGTTTTTTTTTTACAGGACAACCGTTTATAACAGTTTACTTGATGAAATGTATGTGAATTTAGAAGGCACGCTTCGACATTATATTTCAGATTACAAGGTTATGTTTCTTTTCATATTCTATATGTTGATTAATAGAAAATCTGTTGGCAAAAACTGATAAACACTTGAGAAAATCTTTTAGGAGAAATTCTTTCTTTTTTGTGAATCATATCGCTATAAAAAATTTTCATTAGAACAGAGAAATCTATTATTGAATGAGAAATTTCAAACATCATTTTAAGATTCAAATTACTTTGATTAACTTGCCTTAATCAGAAAAATTTCCCTAGGTTTATATGTGTTCAGAAGAGTTTGCTTTATTTTTCATTGACTATAGATCGTTTGAAATTACTAAAAAGTCTTGAGAATCATGATTCAGCGGTGGCTTTAAGTAGTTAACTTCAGGGTGTTTTTGATTATTTGCAATGAGAAAACATCTTTATTTCAAAAAAATGCAAAAAGAGAATTTCAACTCTGTTGGAAACAAATAGAATATACCACGATTAGAGGATATTACACTTTCCCTCTCCGCCCCCGATTGGGCCACACCGGTCATGATTATTTTAACACCATCATAATCTGTTGTCAAAGAAGTCAACGAGGACATTTCCTTACATGTCAACCCAATGACTTTAGAAATATAGTTTAATCCAAATGAAAGATTCTTTCTTTTTTCTTTAGACATATTAGATTGTCAGAAAAATCTGTACGTACTTATCAAAAGATTAGAAAAATCAAGTCTTTCACGTAAGATAAAGTGAAGGAAAAAGTTTAGCACACTTTTTACTTTTTTAGATCCGTTGTCAAAGAGAACTTATGAAAGAGATTCAAATAGTAAATTCAATAGTCTTCACGAAGGAACATATCCAAATGTTAAATAGCTGTTGAGTCAGAACTATATGTATCACGAAGATCCTTATGAATACATTGAAAAAACTTCGAACTATTGGTTTATCAGTACTAAATTATTGCATTTTTACGGTATTTTGTTTTTAGTGCAAGGCTGTAGTTACTCTTAGAAACATCCAGAAAACTGAGTTTCGATTTTCAAATTGAAACTTTGCGCAGAAATTAGCCTTAATCAAAATAGTTTTGTTGGGAAAGTTTCAAATCATTTTGTCCTTCCAATTCGAAAATACGACTATTATACAGGCATGCTTTTAACTTCGCCCATATGTATCAGTAGCTCTTGATGTTCTTATTTCAGAATTGCAGCAATAAAAAGTTTGAAATTGTTACAATACACTATTCTCGTTAAGGCTTGTCTCTGTGCAAAATGTGAAGGTGAAATTCGCAATCCAATTATCTCGATGTTTTTGAGGGAGAAGGGAGAATGCCATTGTACTAAAAAAATATCGTAAAAACGCAATATCTCGGCACCAATTAATTCACAGTTCGAAATTTTTTCAGTGTGTTTACACCTGATTAGGGTCTGCATGATGAATATAGTTGTATTTCATGAAAAAAAGCGTTATAAAAAGAATAAAATTATGTAAGTAATATTTTACCATAGACGATCTTGATGAGATTTTTGGAGTGTTTTCCGTCGTAACTAGTCATGTTGTTTATTAATTTTAGAAAGCGCAACTACAAAACTGAATTTTAAGTCTGAGAAAATCATTACGTTTTGAACAACCGAACTTCCTCTTCGAAATGATACGTTTCCACTCTCAGTAAAATATTCTTTTCGAATGTTGCAACGCTTTCAAATAATGAATTGCAAAACTACAGAATAATGTCTGAAAATAATAAGGATCTAAATTACATTTTAAAATATAGAACTCTATAACCTTTGCACAAAATATTGCTCAAAGCGTGAGGACCTGCCATTTTTAGGAAGAAAGTTGTGTTGTTCAAAAAGCTCTAGTTTTGCCAAATTTAAAATACAGTTTCGTAATTGCCTTTTTGGCAAAATAATGTGTAATATGAATAGTTAAAAGCTAAAAACACTTCGAAAATCTCATTAAGGTGGTCTATTTTGAAGTAGTAATTGCATAGGTTTATTCTACTTTTAACATTCTTTCTCAAGGAATAACGTGAGGTTGAAAATAAAGTGAAGTTTTATTAATTATTAATAACTAATAATTAATTAATACTTTCATATCAAAAGAAATGAATTCTATCAAAATTTAACCTATTAAATTGTACACTGAATAGGTTACAACATTGCTTCCAGTTATTTTTAGTTGCAGAAAAAGTAGATTAAACATTGAAAATGTGCTAACCTATTTTCCGCTAAAGAAAATATTTTCGTGTAATAAAAGCTAAAATATCCATGCTTTAAAAATTGTTCGCATCTCAATTTTATATATCACTTTGACGACTATCGAAATCATTATATTGAGATCTCTTGAATAAGTTGTCTTTACGGAAGAATAAAAACATGACAAGTATACTGAACGTTTTTTCTCCAATTTAATCTCTTGATAGAGACAAACTTAAATTCTGTTTCAAATTTATAGAACATCTGAAAAGTGTAGAATTACAAATCAAAATCATTTTCTGATATCCTCAAAAATAGCAAGTACTAAGTCTAAATGTTTATAAGATATTTATCATTCGACCTAGATCATGAATGCTACTATTATAAATTTTTCTAGTATGTTATGTGTAAATTGAAAAGCGATGTCTGATAAATATTTTATGTATCTGTCATTGAAAGAAATTTAAGTATCTAAAATTGCCTTTCACATGTTTAAAATTCGTATATGTCTGACGAAGCTAATTGAATTACTTTAACAAGATTACTATTATTACATTTAATTTATCATTTTTAGATGAAACATGTCACATAGTCCATTCGAAATGGAAGATTATTATTGTTTGTGCTCAAAGATTCTTTTTTGTAAAAATCTTTAATTATAAATATTAGTATTCTTTTCATTTATTTTCAATAAGATATACTTCGTTTTGTGCTAGTTAACTAATGAAGGCATTCGAGAGTCATAGATTAATAGTTGATATATACTTTATCACGTATGAAACTCTCGAGTAAATAAATTGACGTAAATGTCAATAAATGAAGTTATAATGTTGGTTTTCTAGCTTCATTCTATACAAAATTTGCTTTCGTTCAGTTAAAAAATCAGCAATTAACTACAATGAATACAAGTGATCAATCGACAATTGAATATCTCAATTTCATCAAATATGAATTAAATCGTTATATTCCAATAACACTTCTTATTCTTGGAAGTATTGGTCATATATTAAATATATTAGTTTTTACTCGTCCAATAATTCGAACAAATTCATGCTCAATCTATTTTGTTAGTGGTAGTATTGTAAATTTTATTTCTCTTTATGTTGGTTTAATAACACCTTTTCTCGGAACATATGATCTTGATCCAACACAAATATTTGATATTTTATGTAAAATACGTTTTTATCTTCGTTATACAACAATTACACTTTCAACATGGTTTATACTTTTGGCATGTATTGATCGATTATTTTCAACTTCTAATAATGTTAATATGCGATTATGGAGTTCACTACGTTTAACTAAACGTATTGTCATTTTAGCTACTATTATTTGTTTTATTTGTCCCTATACACAAGTATTTTATTGTTACACAACAAATCAAAATTCATCGTGTACATGGCAAAATGCAACATGTAAATTAATAAATGATCTTATTTTACTTATATTGAATTCTGGTTTACCGCCTATATTAATGATATTAACAAGTATATTAACAATTCGTAATGTTAAATATTCTAATCATATTGTTGTTGGTCGTCGGCGAAATGTACAATTAATACGATTATTATTTATACAAGTATTTTCTTTAATTCTATTTGGAATACCAATAACAGCACAAAAAATTTATACATGTGCGACAATTTTTATGTTAAAAAGTCCATTAACCATAGCTAATGATAATCTTATAAGTCAAATAGCTATTGAAATTTCTTATGTTAATAATAGTACAATATTTTATACATATTCATTAACAAGTAGAAAGTATCGAAAAGAAGTTTTTCGTATTCTATCATTATTATTTACACATTGTCAAAATGTCAAAATACATCCTGAACAATCTATTGGCTCATTAAGAATAAATCAAAATAAAATAATTGCAAAAATGTCTAATGAATCATATAAAATGAATGTCCGAAATAGAGCCGGAAAACTTTGAGAAACAAAACAAAACATTATATATATGTAATTTAAATGTTGTTTCGTATTCAATAAAATGAAAATTACATGCAGCACATGTTTGATTGATATAATAATATCAATCATTTCACTTATATGTTCTATTACATTCAATCAACTGTTTTCAAAAAGTCTCTTTTACTTTAATCGATCCGTTTTATATTTCAGCTTAAATTCATTATTATATAATATGACATCGAGTATTTGTTATGACAATATTCCAATTCTTGTTGTTGTTTTTTTTTAGAAACTTTTTATCATAAAAGTAATATATGACAATCTCATTTATATTTTATGTCCTAACGCCTAAGTCTTATCAATAATATTGAATTATATGTCACTACAAAAACACTTGTATAAAGACTATTCTATATTTTTCCACCATCGGGATTTGTTATTGCATTTGTAAAATAGCTCGTTCTTTTTATGAATACCATCATTACCGATAAATAATTACTTGTTGTTTCTCGACGGAGACACGATGTTGAATAATAAATCTTTTATTTGTGCAAAAAAAACTCAAGTTTACAGATAATAAAAAACTCATACACAGACAAATGGCAATGAAACCTCGCTTCATATTTTGGTGTCCCAAAGATTAGCATTTACCATAGAGAATAGAACAACAAAATATAACATATTTGCATAGATCATAGATTGACGACAGGTTAAAAGATAAGAGCATATAGCAGGTGTTTATTTGCAAACTTCATATATCCTGAATAGATAGACACATTGTTGACAGTAACTAATCAAAAGTTTTCATATTTTATTTTCGACATAGGATTACAAAAAAACAGCGAACTATTGAACGACCATTTATAACAGTTCGATTTGTTACATTGACAATATTTTTTGCAATAATGTTATCGAAAGATAGAGATATTTAGACTATTTATATATTAATCGTTGATTTTATTAAAGAAAAAGTATATTTAATTTCTTGTTGCATAAGTTATTACGTAACAATTTTTATTGTCATACAAATGATTATTTTAAAATTACACTACAGTCGCATATCATAAAATTTATCAGAGACCAATAAATTTGAAATAACAACTGATTAGGTAATAAGAGTATTTTTTCAATAAAACCGATCATATAAAAAGTCTCTTTTTTTTTTCTTTTTGCTTTCTTGCATACTTGTTCATATAAGTAACGTAAGACAAGATAGACGACTCTTTGTTTTTACCCGAAACCACTTATTTTGAGGGTGAATGAGAAAAAGAAAAAGCGCAAAGTAAAATGACAATACTCTACACTTGATTATAAGTAAGGCGAAAATATTATTTTTATGCTTTATGGCATATGTGTAACATAAAGGCATATCACATCTTCATATTGTTATGTATTCAGTATCAGAATGAACGGTTTTTTTATAAGCATAATAAGTCATGATTTATTTGCATTAGTGACGAGTCTAGGGTTTTTAGCATTAGGGTACTATTTGGCGGTCATGATGATCAAATATGTTTTAAAGCTTATTAGACATAGTATCAGCTCATTGTAAGCTTTTTCTGCTAGGAAAAACCGAGCAAAATGTTTCGGAAGGGAACGATCGCCCTTAGCACGCCTTCTAAATCGGCCTTTGGTTCTCTCGTTTTATAATCAAATTGAATTCATATTTTTTATAAAAAAATTACAAGCAGAATTTTTACTATTCTATTGTTCGTCTATACTTCTGAGGACATACTTGAATAAGTTAGCGATAGCATGAAAATTTCTTTTCTTTTCTTTTTTTTTTAACAGTTATAGACTGCTAAGTGACTGCGAGCACCGTGACAACTTCAAACAACAATTACACATTGTATGTAAATTATAATAACTATATGCGCTTTCTTGTTGTTGTTATTATTATTGTTATGAAAGAAAAACTGTGTACGTGTCTACAAATATCCATAAGAGACTGCTAGTCATTAATCTTTTTTTTTTCTCATCATCATATAAAATGAGAACTCTGGAAAAATAAGAAGATCAACAGAAGTTGCCAACGTAAATCTTGATTAAAAAACATGCATGTAATGTTGATACGTGATTAAACTATGATACTGATTGACATAGAATCGGCAGTTTCGCTATGAACAGATGAGATAAAAGGTTATCGATTAGTTTTCGACATCTAACTTTCACGTTCCTATACATGAGAAACTTATTTTCTTTCTTTTTTAATATTCATGTTAACGAATGATCCCTTTTCTTCATAAATATTTTCTCCACTTTTTCTTTCTTTCTTCGCATTTTGTTTCTTGGACGGCCTGCTTCTTTTTGCTAGACACTAAATGATTAAACACGTCTCATGAGTAAATACTGCAAGCAAGCTCAAGAAATAACATAGAACATTCATGATTATTATTGTAATATCCTGTTATGTATTATTATTATTAGACAATATTCTATAATAGGATACGAAATCCGAAACTTTACTTCGTTGTTTTTACTTTTGTCTTCATCCACGCCATCAACAATCATATCAAGAAAACAAAGAAATAACAGTTTTTTTTTCTTTCTTTTTATTACGATAAAAGTATTTTATCTACATTGATGTGAATGGGCAACCTTACTGCTGTTCCTACACTCCGTCGAACTCCAAAAGTTTCAAACAGTAATGCACGTCAGTCAACAGTTTCGTCAGTAACTAATGGTAGATCGTTACCTTTACCAAGACATGAAACTTATGTAGTGCATCACAATTTATCATCTTCTCTTGATTCTTCATTGTGGATTGCAATAAAAAATCGACGAAAATATACACCAAAAACAAATCGTATTAAAACAACACGTTATAATATTATTACATTTCTACCGAAAAATCTTTTTGAACAATTTCATCGTGTAGCTAATGTATATTTTGCTATTTTAATTGGTCTCAATTGGGTACCGATTATCAATGCTATTTCACGAAACGTAATTTTATTTTATTTTTGTAGTATAATGATGAAAAAAAGACTTATTGAATATTTTTAGGTCGCTTTTATACCATTGACAGTTATTTTAACAATAACAGC